AATAACTACAGTCTGTACTCTCAGCCAGAGGGGCTGAGCGGTTCCAGGGAACAAAATCTTTTGCTGGGAAAGAACTAGCTTTGCAGTTCTGGATTTGGCTTGGGATCCTGGAACTGGGAGATTTCTAAGAGAATTGGGAGGGATGAAATTTCCATTCCTGTGTCCATTGTTTAGTAGTAGACAGCACCGAATTGCACACCTGTGCACAGCACTTATGGGAAAGATGCTGGCTAATGTTCTGGGTTCCACCTGGGAGACAGAGGAGGTCTCTGTGCAGGAGTCAGGAGAGCTCCACCCTGGAACCAGTCTGTGTCTTGCGGACTGAGGAGCGTATGACCTGTGTGGTGAAAAGCAGCCTGTGTGGCAAGAGGACAAGAAACAGCCTGTGTGGCAAGAGGACAAGAAACAGCCTTTGTGGGAAAGGCTTTTGGTAAACCGACAACCTAATGTCGGTGAGACTTTGAAAGTGTTATTTTGGATGAAGAAAAAAACCTGTACTTTATGTTTGAAAACCCCTGCGAGGGAAAAACGGTGTGAACAATAGAAATCATCAACCACCATCTCTGCCCTGATGAAGGGACCCTGCGTGGTCCCGAAACGTTGGATTATGCGATATGTGTGACGGAGTGCTGGTGATTTCTATTGTTCATTGACTGTTGTACACGGCACCATCCGTGATTGTCACTGCAAGCACAACTATTTTCCGGAAGCGCTGTAAGGAGTGCAGGGGGACCTACTGTTTTCTGGAGAACCGGTGTGGTCTTTTGAGTTAAGAAAAGTAGGCAAAGAAGCCCTTAAAAAGTGGAAAGCGAGTGGAAGTGTCCTTAAAGCTCTACCATTTGAAGTTAATTCTCACAGTATATATATATATATATACACACACATACATTTTAGTGCATCTATATTATATATATATATTTCAGCACCCTGTATTAATTACATAATGAAGTACATAATGTAATACTTACATTATGTATTAATGACATAAAAGACCAGGTAACAAACTCTACAACCTTAACATTTTTTATTTTTACACAAATTGACCAAACACCATTATGGCCACTCCACTACTTTAAAACCAGATACATGCCAAAGACTACTCATAATAATACAGTAATCCAGACACACATTCTTCATGTAAATGCACAAGCACTCTATGGTCACTCTTCAGCAGACACTCATAAGTAATAGTGTTCATACAGTGCAACTAAATCTAAATAGATTAACCAATATATCACTTTCCAGAGCCAAAGGCTTTCCAGTCAAAATCAGATCTTCCTTTCCTGATTGGAAAAAAAAACAACTGTGGTAATGGAGGGAGCTGATCTACTGGTCTTTGCAAATGCAATTTTTTTACTTTAATAACCATTTAATAAAATGTGAAATTACAACAAAAAATATATATAATAAATGGATATGTTAAACTGAGGATTGCAAATGACTCTCAACTGTAAACAAATCAGTATTTCCTGCCTTAGATGAAAGAGGATGGCAAAGTGCTTAGGGCAAGTGTTGTATTTCCATGTTATTAAGAAATAGTTTTCCAATATTTTAGGAAATGTCAGAAAGAATATGTGCAATGACTTCTAGACTGTATTTTATTTTATAGAAATGGGGAACATCCTCTGGTAACATCACCATAGAAACACAATAGGTTTCCAAAGCCAGTACAACCTTAAGTCTGCTTTGGGAAAGGAAAAACATTGAAAGGACACTTTGCAGTTGAGCACTGGTGACATATTTAGCAGATATATTTTTTTTATATCACCAAATATACATTTATTAAATTAATACATTTCAAGGAAAAGGATCTTGGGTACTCAAATTTTATCACATTCAATATTCCATTTTTCAGGTTCTGAAAGTCAATTTGTTTTGGCGTTCATTTGTTTTGAATCCGAAATGTCGTTAATTTCAGATGAGGTAAATAAAAATTACGAATTAAAATTTGTTGCAGAAAAGTGACATTAAGGGGGTTATTCACTTCGGCCGATTCTTTGGGTCACTTCCGCCGCTGGAGTCCTCCAGTTCAGCCCAACCGAAGGGCTGCTGTACGGACTATTCACAATAGCTCATACAGCAGCTGAAGGCAGCTGAAGCGCTCAGCCAAGCTGAAGCATACGTGTTCAACTTGGCTGAGCCGAAGACAAAGCCGAAGCAGGGAGAAGGGTCTGCCGAATCCGCAATGGGTCTCTTCTCCCCGCAAATGTAAACAAATATAAAATATTTTTTCTAAAAGTCTGGTGTGTTTATTTACATTTTGATTTAACCCTTTAGTGTATAAGAAGGGTACAAGTATTAATTAACAGGGCGGGCAGCATCTGGGTGCCCCCTTTTTGAAAGGGGGTACCCTGATGCAAATAAGCCTCCCTACTCGCAGCTCCCCACAACCACCGGGTCAGGGTTGTGGAGAAGCAGCCCTTGTCCCCATCGGCATGGGAACAAGGTGTTTTTCTAGATGGGACCCCTGGAAAAGCACCCTCCCAATGCCGAGGGCATGTGGCCTGGTATGGCGGAGGGAGTGGGGGTGCTCGCTCATTTCCTGCCCTGCCAGACCAGTGCCCGGATTAGGGGTTTGGAATTTTAGGAAGGACCCCACTTTTTTTCCCCGTTTTTTGGTGGTGGGGACCTAAAGAACCTGGTGTGACTTTTGGGGAACCACTTTTTTTTTATTTTTAAACGGAGGGTCCCTCTTCACATTCTTACCAGACCTAAATGGTCTGATATGGTTTTGGAGGGGGGCCCCACACTGTTTTGTTGTTCTTTTGTTTAAACTTTTTTATTCTGCTCCTGCAAGCATTCAGGCTATTCACTCACTGCTGTTCCGCCCCTATGCGAAATGTTGGATCGGCTGAGGCGAACATGTTCTTCACTTCGACTCAGCTGAACTGTTTGACTGAACCAAAGTGAACCACAGCCAGCTGCTGTACGGCTGAAATCAGCCGTATTCGGCTGAAGTGAATAGCCGAATTGCGATCGGTTTCATTCAATTCAGGTCAGTAATTCACTCGGCTGCCTTCAGCAGCTGAGTAAATAACCCCCTACATGTTTACTTTGTTTCTTTAACTTTTGACAGTCCACAGAAACATTAAAAAAAAAAGCGTGCGGTTGCCCCAACAATTTATACCAGACCCTTTAGGTCAGGGGGAACCCAAAAAAAAAACAACAACAGTGTGGGGTCACCCCCTCCAGCAATTCATACCAGACCCCCCCCCCCCAACAATTAATCTCCGATCCCTGCCTGATGTCCATTAGCAGAGGAGCAGACCTATGCTGATTGACAGTGTGTGTGTGTGTGTATATATACATACGCACACATCAGCAATAGGTTGGACTTGATGGATTTATGTCTTTATTCAACCTCAAATACTATGTAACTATGTAAGAAGTCAGGGGTGAAGCAATAGCCAGCTTGCTATTGCAATTTAAAATAGCCAATAGCAGAATTGCTATTGCTCCTGCAGAGGAGAGAAAGTTCTCTCTTAGGTCCGCTCCTCTGTGATTGACATCAGGCAGTGGGAGGGTGCATTAGCCAGGCTTTGTTTATTTCTGCCCATTGCCCAATGTAAACATTACATCGGGCAGCCAGCGGCAGCTTTTTTTTTTTTTTTTCCATTGGTCGGTTGACGCTGGAATTACATCATCGGATTCATTTTTTTAAAATAAAAGAATTGTCAAAAACTTGTGTTGTGTTTTTTGTTCAATTAAAGGAATTTTTCCTAAGGTGTTTGTTTTTTTAACTCTTTAGTGAATGAGTAGGAGTAACAACTACCCCTTACTCATTCACTGAGTGCTCCCTTTATGAAAGGGGGTACCCAGATGCAGACAGATGAGCCCCCCTTCCCACAGACCCCCACAACCACCGGACCAGGGTTGTGGGGATGAGGCCCTTGTCCCCATCGGCATGGGGACAAGGTGCTTTTCCAGGGGGTCCCCCCCTGGAAAACCACCCTCCCAATGCCAAGGGCATGTGGCCTGGTATGGTGCACGGAGGAGAGGCGCTTCCTCCCCCCCTCTTTCCTGCCCTGCCAGGCTGCTGCCTGGATTAAGGGTCTGGTAGGGCTTTTAGGGGGACCACGCTTTTTTGGCTTTGGGGTCCCCCTTAAAATACCTACCAGACCTAAAGGGTCTGGTATGAATTGCCAGGGAACCGCACGCTGTTGTTTTTTGTTTTTTACGTGGGGGCCCCCCTAAACCTGGTTGAACAGAATTACCGAACGATTTGGCAGGTAAACCTGTTTACACATAGAAATGTAAACTTTATTATTATGTTTTTCCAAACCTTTTAGTTTTAAAGCTGACTCCATGTGCACAGCTAAATAGACAGATGAAATGAATATATAAGAATTGATTTTCATACCAAAGGATATATATTCCTGTCCATCCATTTTTCATATTCAGAGAGCACGGCCCTGGCTGGCAGGACAGAAGACGCACTTTTTCTCTGCTACAGTTAAGTAACACTTTCAAATCTTGCCCCACCCCTAGCCTGTTTTTGCACAATGAAAGAGAATCAGGTATCGGATTAGCTCATTTACCTGTCACTCTGTTCTAGTCATCTCCTATTAGCATGTTCCTAGCTAGCACATCTGAGTGGTTCTCCCTCTACTGTACAGGGACTTTAAGAGGCTGATACCAGGTCAAATTCAGGTACTTACACTGCTTGTTAAAACAATACATTTAAGGAAATATTAATGAATACAGAGCAGTAACAATCTTTTTCTTTTACATTTACTTGGAGTTCAGCAGAAGTAGACATACTAGGTTAACACATTTGCAAAGTTTCCCCTGCAATATTTTATCTTAATTTAAATAAGGTTAGCAGTCTTACCTAGTCTGGATTCGTTAATATATATTTTTAAATATTTTACCATTTAAATTAAAAGTTACTTTATACAATATAGTATAAAAATGTGTATTAAACATGTTTATATTTAACAACATTAGCTAATGCAGGTTGTTTTTGTTTTTTTTATAGCTTAAGCAAATGATTGCCTTACCATAGCAATAACTGCAGCTCCAGCACCAGCCAAGGCAACAATAAAGAGATGGAATGTCATGTTCAGCTGCAGAGGAAAAAATAATAGTAACAATAAAGCATACAGTGTAACATACATAGCGTAAAAGAAACATTTACATAGTGTCTACGAAAAAATAAAAGCACAGCTAGAAGATCCCATCTAAATTTCTGTATACCACATCAGTTTTTTTCCCCTA